CTTCCTTCTGGCAGTTTGGTTCTACACTGGTGACGTACCTCATAGTGCTCCTGCAGTTGAAGTTCTCTGTGTCTGGCTCTTCACAGCAGCCCAACGTTATGCGCAGTACAACTGAGAATGCTTCTGTTGTGGACCGGAAGGAGTGATCAATGCTTAGGAGAAAACTGGTGTCAAGAAAATAAGCACTTTGGTACAAGCAAGGATAACGTTCAGCCGGTCAAAGCAACCATGCGGTTTGAGGTGTGGCCTCGGTTCGCTCAAACATTGGCATTGATTTCGAGTCCGCTCAAGACATGGCTGTTTGTCCGCGTTTTTCTTTATTGTGCTCTCGGCCTTACCAGAGATGATTTGAGGCTCTTACGGCGGTGATTACGAAGATGGATGCTTTCTGAGTTGTAGCGCAGAAGAAGTTTACCAACATTTCAGAGGCCCTTGTTGCCTCCATCATCAGGACCATTATCATCGCCCTGAAGATGAAGGCAGCAGGGTCCTCAGAAATGCTGGTAAATTTCTACCTGACTACACGGCGCTACAACCCAGAAGGCAGCCATCTTCGCCTTACTGAATATTTAAATCACTTTTTAAAAAAACGCTCATATGTGAGGTGCCCAAGGTCTTTTAATATGGAAGACTGCACAGCCAAGAAGCATGTAAGGATTTTCAGCTGTGGATTTTCTAATAATTCTGACTTGGATGTTACTTGGTAGGCATTGGTATGTTTTTTCCATAACAATTATGTTTTACGTGTGAATTGCTGCCTCACTCCTTATCCCTTTGAAATACAGTTTAACGGTATGTACTAACTGTGCTAACACTCACTAACTCTGAAATTAGACTACAGAATGTATTTATGGATTTCCTATAATTCTCAGAATAAACTATTATATTCATACACAACTAGGTGACTGTAATAGAAACGCGCTACGTCTTGTTTGATATGAAATTTTGAATGAGATAAGATTCAAGCTTCGAAGAATTAAACAGATTTCAGACTCCGAGTCCAGATGTTCTAGCGGGAGCCACCATTATTATCCTCTGCTCAGAATGTAGAATTTTAGAGCTACAATTTTGTAACGCAGAATATTTTGCGGCAAAGTTTTTGAAGCTTTAAGCGCAATCTGCAGCTTGTAGTCCACTTCTTGTCGACTGCCTGTGTCTGATTTCTCGATATCGTCACATTACTTCCACACGATGTGTTCATCTCTTTTATACGCACCCAATAGCCGCGCCATACTGTGGTGGTAAGAGACGCACTTATCAACGCAAATTTGGAACAAACAGCTGAACTGTAGTTGTCTGTAATAAACGTTATATTGTCGGAAGAAAAGTAACCTAAAGCAACAGCTTTTCTCAGAGTTCAATAGGGTGTGAGTGACGTCGTTGAAACAAATACCCCATTACCATTTAAACAGTATTTTCATAAATTCATATGAACCATGAATTTATAGTAAAAAGAAACTAATTTTGCTTTAATAGTATTAATAAGGATCCGGAAGTGACTGGTTGCTTAAATTTACTAAACTCACGGTTATGACAGTTCCGAAGGTGCTGTGGCTATATTTACAGTGTCGTTCATTATGTCATAACATCATGACGATGCGACATTTATATTCGTATTTAAGTGGCATAATAAATGGGTTTTGTTTACGCTTGAACCGGTCCTGTTCTAATCATAAATGTAATGAGTTGTAAATCAAGTGGACGTCTCAGAGTTGGTAAAGCGATAGCAAAAACAAAACAACTCCTAGTCAGAGTAACTGCTTAGGACGTTGCTCAAAATCCATGGCTGTTGAAACCAGGAATACTCTAATGTTTCATGCACAAGGTCAATAATCATAACGAAGGCGGAGAGAAAACACAGGGCAAACATACAATCAGTAATTACTGTCGTGCTAGCTTACTATAAACATGCCTGCAATTATATCTAGCAGCCTCATGTTGAACAGGAATGGAGGAAATTGTTGTAGCCTAAGCGCGTAATGAAAGGCAACCGTTTTCAGCAGAAGAGCGACACACGTTCATATATTGCGATAAACAGGAATAAACAATAAAATAGCTATATTCAAGAATGAATTTTCAAGTCACAAGGCTGATCGGAGAGCGGCTAAAATACAAAAATGAGTAAGACGATCTAAAACAATGGACTGTGGGGTCCGCAGTGGCCGCGCGGTTTGAGGCGTGGGCCTTGTGCCGCTTGGTCACTGGGACCGTGGGTTCGAATCCCAATCAAGGCACGGACGTTTGTCCGCGTTTTTCTGTGTTGTGCTGTCCTGTGTACAGGTAGAGGCCTTGGGACGAGCCGATCCCTCGTCCAAGGAGCCCTATAAATCAAACTAACGAAAAAGTTGGAACTCGCAGTGCAGACCGGCTCTGGGGCCCACCCAGCCTCCTCCCGGGGGCAAAGCGCGTCCGGGGCGTGACGTCTAGTGCCGAGGTCAAGAATGAGTGAGGCCTTGGGACGAGCCGATCCCTCGTCCAAGGAGCCCTATAAATCAAACTAACGAAAAAGTTGGAACTCGCAGTGCAGACCGGCTCTGGGGCCCACCCAGCCTCCTCCCGGGGGCAAAGCGCGTCCGGGGCGTGACGTCTAGTGCCGAGGTCAAGAATGAGTAGGAGCTATACCCCCCCCCCCCGCAC